TTTGCAGTAGCTCACTGCCTTAAGAAATTCAAAGAAAAAAAGTAGATATTAAGAGACTAATTAATTTGCCTCAAAAAGTTAATCCTGTCATTGTTGGAATATTTTCCATTATTACAATTATTAATATATAATTAATATGTAATTTGGAATTTCAGATCCATCATTTCCCACCTCATTAACAAAGGTGTATGAAAAGTTATATGCATTTTAATCTTTGAATTAATTATCTACATTAAAACAGTTTTAATGAAACAAAAACCATATTGGAACTATGAATTTTGGAAGAAAAATATGACATGAAACAAAATAAACATGAAAGTAACTTTTTTATTTTATTGTTCAGAAATAAACTATTTTTATGCTAACTTATTGTCATAAATATACTTTTTATGATAATAGAAGTAAAAAAAATTTGGCTCATAAAAATCTGATTTAGTAGCAGGGTTAGCATTAAAAGTTTGTACACCTCATTTATAATACCTAAAAATATTGATTTTTTTTTTTTTTTATTTAATTATAACATTAACTTTACATAACAATGTTCTTAAATGATTTTTCATTGATTTTGTAGTATAAAATGTGTTTGTTTCTATTTTGTTTGCAGTGGTAAACTAACATTCAACATACTTTTAAAAAAAACCTTTTAAAAAGAAAAACCGATTACTGATAAAATATTAAATTTTTTCATCAGTATCATATTAAATTAACTTTATGTTAAATAACAGAATTTTTAAATTTCTCCATGTAAAAACAGAATCTAAGAAAAAATCTTCAGAAAAAAATTTGTTAAAAATTAAACACTGCAAAATTAACTTTCTTGGGAGAGATTTTGTAATATTTGTAATAAGAAAAACTAGAAAAAAATAGGATTAATAAATTATTTCTTTAAATCAAGTAAAATTAAAATGCTTCATTTCAGTATAAGAAGCCTATAAAAATTCATACTGTTTTTTAAAAAAAAGAAATGCAGATTTGGCAAAAATAAATAAAATTGATCAGTAGTTTATTTGCTTTAATAAATAAAAATTTCATAGAGAATATTAAATTAACTTTAACTGAAAAATGTTAACTTGCAAGTAACAAATCCAAGTTTCCTAAATTACATTTTTTATTAAATTTTGCAGAAAAGAAGTTTATTTTTACAACAAAAGCAAAATAATATAACAAGTCCAAAGGAAATAAAATTATACTTACTTCCATTAAAGAAGCTAAAATTCTTCCAAGTGTAAAAAGCAAAAATTTCTCAAGCCAACTACAGCAGTGAAATTACCACAAACTCTAACTGAAACTAATAATCTTTGCTCTCAGTGGATGATGTGATTTGAGATAAGCTTCCAGTTCTGAACAAGAAATGCACAACGAATGCCATGCACAGTATCCTCTGAATAAACATTAACATATGTAAGGTAGATATAATTTTTGGGGGCCTCTGAGAACCTAGCAGTCTCAAAACTGAGAATCGTACTAATATTTTCAGGGCATTTCCAACTCCAATATACATCAGTGAATAAAACTTACTAAGATTTAATATTTACAGTAATTTTGTTCTTTCAAAGACATCTCAAGAACATTGTGTGTGTAAGATCCTCACTTGATTGGAATTCCTCTAGAGAACATTTCTATTGAGACCTTGCTGTTTGATAATTCAGAATACAATTTGGAAAGATCTATTTCAATTACTAATTTAAATCAACCAGTGACAACTCAGTGGTCAGTGACCTAGATTTTGACAGTGAAATATCATGACTGCTGCTACTGACCAATAAAATGATCTCCAACTAACCATGATTCATTTGTTGGTTGTGGGATGTAAGTCTTATTCCAATACTTAAATTTGAACAATAGACATTTTCAATCAACTATACATACTTTTGAATAATTCTAAGGTTTTTCACAGAATTGTCTTTTTCTTAAGTATAATTTTGAGAAAAAACAAATCTGATTTTAAATTGGCTAATAAGAATCTAAGCTGAAATGAAATCAAGTCAGTCCAGAAATAATGCATCCTATTTATTTCTACATGTACCAGAGCACAATAATACCAGTAGCCTGTTTTCAGCTACAGAACACTAGTTTTTCCAAATAATCACTGTTGGTTCTGCATTTTTTGCCAGTGGTGAATAATTTGGGGTGGGGAGGGCTGCTTAGAACATGGTTTGTTGCACATATAACTATTGTCACTGCTGAACCACATTATTTACTACTTGACTCTGCTCACATCCACGGTTTGGTTTCTATAAATGTTCAGCAAGCATTGAATGTCAGCTGGTATAATTTGTTTTTTTTTCTGCATGGAGAAATTCATTGATGCACTTCTGCTTTGTATATCAGAAACTATTTTGCCAGACTGTCACTTATCTGCAATTACTTTATCTTCGTAACAGAATATTGGCGGCTTAAATACATTGACTATGTGTACAACAATGATTTAGAAAAATGGAATATTCCATTATTGCAAATAACTTTCATATTTCACACTCAAATTTGAAACATCAATTTTATATATGTATATAATCTGGCATTTCCTCCTTGACAATTGAAATTTATTTAATCATTTACATATTAAGTCATTTCAGTGCTTATGTATTGGTATAAAAAAGTGGCATCTTCAGTGTTCAGAATATTGTCACACAGTATCATAAATGACAAGCATTAAGGATATATTGGAGGCACAAAAGTCCATCATTCACATGTGGGGAGCTAGCAAGACTCAAAAGGATATAGCTGTCAAGGTGGAATGTTCTCAGTCTCCTGCCTTGAAGATAACAAGATAAACTTATTCAAAATGGCTCAACTTTTGTTTGAAAGTCAAGATAATAGCTAGAGATGAATAGAATCCTTATTTCCAATTCATTCATCAATTGTATTGAAACTTCTAAAGTCTGAAATTATACTGGTGTAGCTGTTTTTTGATCCACAATACTCTGGAGACAGCCTTAGCTTAGATATGACAACAGGATACTGATTTCATAACTACTATTAACTTTTAAGCAGGACTACAGACCATCAAAGTTGGTCTGTTGAGTGGAACAGTCATTTTCAGAGATGAATCAAAATTCTATATTTCCTTTGGTGAACATGCAAAATCACATCTGGAAAAAGTCACAAAAAAGATATAGTGCCAAATGCATGAAAAAATGTGTAAAAGTCCCTCAATCTGTGATGGTTTTGTGTTGTATGTCTATCACTGGTCTCAGAAAGATCAGTTTCTTGAAAAAGTTGGTTAATGTTGCTAAATCAGTGGTGATGGACATCACCACTGATTTAGCAACATTAACTAACTTTAATTACTTTTAAGTTAAAATACTCTGAAAAATTAGTAAGCATTGCTGGGGATGGCAGCTATAGCAAGGTGAAAAAGGATCCAACCCTAAAAACTAAGAGGAAGCTGTCACAGTTCTTAAATAAGAACAAAGATTAATTTGCACTGAATAAGTATAGACAGTATTGAGTCTATTAAGGTAAGGCTTCAAGAACTCCAGAAAGCTGTAACACGAGGGGAAGTGGAAAAATCAGATGTGGCTGACCACATATGGAGAGAGAAGGGAGTTCACCGCCCTTTGTGAGATCAGGTTGAAATCATAGACAAAGAACACCATTAGAAAATTCGTAAACTTAAGGAATCAGCACATATGCTAGACCACAAAAATCTCCTGAGCCAACCAAGCATAGAAATGAATACAATATGGCAACCAGTAATAAGGAGTGCCAGAGAAAAGCGAGAACAGCAAAAATTGCAATATGAGCTCTGGTAAAAAAATAGTTGCTGAAGATATTATTAGGTTTATAATACCCAGAAATTCATACCCAGATGTCCTCAAGGACACATGGCACAGTGGATAAAGGTGTTAGTTAGATCCAGTGACAGGATCCAAAGAGTGAGTTCAATACCCAGTTAAGGCAGTGGAGAGCTTGGAGAGGAGAATTAACAGGAGATAACTGATAACTGACATCCATTAAACATGGCACGTAGAACTACCCCAGTGAGCGAAATAAAGGGTTCAGTTTGACATTCTAACCACCTGAAGAAGGCCGGAGCGTACAACAGCCAAAACGTAATAAATATGGTGACAAAGATGAGTACAATAGTCCAAAGAATGTAAATAATGTCAAAAGAAAATGTTTTCTATTATTGATCAGTAATTTTCATGGTAATTTACTTTGTTTAAAGTGCTTTAAGTAGATACCTGGTTTTAACTTGATAAAAGTAATTTTTATTTCCTTCCACTTCCCCATTTTCTTGAGATAATTTATTGCATATTAATATCTTACTTTAGATGAGCAAGGAAAATTTTAATTTTTGTTGTAAATTTGAAAAATTAGTTATTCTTAATTTTCATTTTATTTTTATTTTTTAATGTAAACAAATTATTTTAAATTTGCAATGATCTCTATAGTTGTATTTTATCAATTTAACATTTTTTTTCAATTGACTACTCATTTCTTTACTGAAAATTACAAATTTATTTTGAAATGCAATCCTGGTGGTGAGGGATTCTTGAGTGATTTATAATCAGTTAATTTCAGGATATTTTATATTTCAGTGAAAAAGTAAACCACAATGAATATTTTTAGCTCTACCTGTAAATAAGTTTTTATCTAAAACATACCAGAAGTGGAGAAGCATATTCTGAACTGAAATTCCCTAAATTTTTCCTACTACTTTTTGGGAAAATAGTGTTCTTGTAGGATTCTCTTCTATCACACACAAATGCTGCTACCAAACATATCTAAAAATTTTATCAGTAAGAAAATTGTGCAGTGTACTTGTATTAATTACAAACTTCCATTTCCACATCCAAATTAATTATATGAGGGAGTACTGAAAAGTTCTCAACCAGACCACTTCCTATAATCTGGCCAAAAAACCAAATATCAGATTTTTTTTCTTAAGGGCTTCTTGGTCAGACTGAGAACTTTTCAGCACCTCTATATGTGTGTACAAATGCACACACACAACTTGGCACTTAATAAGGTCCACTGTTCCTGTATCATTTTAGAGGAGCAAAGAGGATGCTGCATTATCTCAAATCAAGGAAGTAACAGGAATTGAAGATGTGAAGGTGATCACAGAGGCCATAAGTGCATGTTGCAATCAGGATGGCAAATACAATATTGAAGATGTTGTTACAATGCTTGTTCAGGATACCTCGGAATATAATGTAAGTACTGCAAGTTCTTAGTGTGAATGTCTCTTGCATTTTTAATGCATAACCTTATATATTAACAAAACTGTATGATACTAGTTATAAACAAGCAATAAATACAGAAGCAGTTATTGTTTTGAATCTGCAGTGCAAAAACAGACTAATGCATTAATACATTATTCAGAATTGAATGAAGCATATTGAAAGCACGTTTCATGCATAAAAATTACATCTAAAAGCTTGTTTTTAGTCAAAAACCCAAGACTGTGGAAGTATTTGTAAATACCTCAATTGAGTAAGACATGCATTACATAGTCAGTTTACACTTGAACAAGATGGAGCAACTGTCACTTTTTTTTTTTTTTTTTTCACCAAAATGAGGTGTCATGAAATTATCTTTGCCATTACTGTATGAGCAGGATGTTTGGAACAGGATAATTCCCTTTAGTTATCAAATTCTTTCTTTAAATGTAATTGTCAAATATTTTAAGAGCCTTTGAAGAGACACACACACACACACTGATGCCTATATGCATCAACTGTTAATATTTCATTAAAACTATGTTGGTTAATTGTTTGTGAGCAGTACTTAGTTTAATATTTTATGAATAGCATTTTTGTTACTGTTTTTATTCCAGTATTGAGTAAGATGGACAATACTAAATAGATGACTTTGTTTTTCTTTCTTAAAAAGTTATATGTACTTAAAACTATGTATGTTATTTTGATTTGTTTTTGTAATCTAATACAATTGTTAAGTTTGTTTTTAATCAAATTTTAGTAAAAGAAATTCACTTTTTATTTAATTTTGTTAACAGAACTTTCATCCTTTTTTTTCTCTCTCAAGGTTCCTGCAAATCCTACCCATAATGTATCCAAAGATTCCTGTGATCCTGTACCTCCATTAAATAAAGATAAACAAAAAGGTAAGTAAACTGTTAGGAAATAAAAAGCATTATTTTTATACATTGGTCTTTGTTTAAGCTGGCTTTTATTTCAGTATATATGTACAATATTACAACTATCCATTCCTTGAAACTAATTTTTGCAAGCCTGTTTTATTGCCTTAATAACAATAAAAAGCATCTTCTACACCTTATTCTATTGAACAAATTTGACCTTGACTAATTTAAAGAAATATTTCACTGTTCTGTAGTGTTTAATGTCAAAACTTTCTTCTTGAAAATTGATGATTATTTTTTTAAAAAGATTATTGTCAACAAAATTGATATTATAAAAATTCTATTTTCTTAGCATATATTGCTTTGTCTTGTATCACATGAATTAAATGGAAATCAAGCAGAGGAATTTCCTTTAAAGAGATTTAGCATGTTACTCCACTTAAAGTTCTCTATACATATTAATATATGTTAATCTCTTAAGCCAATAGTTTATAGCATTAGACTAAACATTTAAATTTTGTTATTGTGCATGAGATTTAACCCCATTGGGAGAACTTATTACTGTTCAAATAAGTTCGCTTTATAATGTTCTCATCCAAGTTTTCAATTCTTTAGTAATAGACCTAACAAATGAGAAACAACACCAACAGCAAGCAGCAGCTGATAGTTACGAGAGTGAAGATATTCGGAAAGCTATTGCTGCCAGTTTACAAGACTCTACTGGGATGTTAGGAGGACAGGTAACTCGAGAAGAACAAGATATCAGCCGGTAAGTGATTGTTTGTCGAAAAGATTCTTTGTAGATAACTTTTAGTCCCATTTTAGTCCTCTTCCTTTGTAAAATAGAAGCAGTGTTTGGTTTTAATCTAGAATTTATAAGACAAAACTAAATTACCAATGTTGACTAATTTGCATGAAATAATATTCTCTTATTGATTATGACATATACATATTTTGGACAATATGTTTTGGTTAATTTTGGGTAACATTGGCATATTTATTATCATTAGTGAAATCCCAAAGTTGAGTATTGTATTATTAAAAACAATAGCTCTTAAAGGGATAATCCCCAACATTTGAAAAAAGAAGAAAAAAAAAACAACTTTGCCACTGTATATTGTAATAACTATAATATAAGATGATCCTACTAGATGTTCATTACAAGCTACATGATCAATGGATCAGCTAATCATTAGTCACACCATGCTATCAAATTATAAAAAGGGATAAACTGGGGAACTGTTTAATTGTAACTTTAGTGTATAGCAACTGACAGTTTAATATAATAAATGCTATCATATATTACATTATTGCGAGTTAGGAATTGACTGAAAGAATAAAATGAATTTGACATAAGCTTGTCTTACTTTGTTTTCAGACACTTACCAATTACAAAACATAGAAAACATTGTGCATTTTTATCAAACTGTACAAAGTCAAAACAAGACATTTATAATGATGAATTTATAGTATTTGTAAAGAAATACAACTTGAACTATTTTTCTTTGCAGAGTTCTTGAAGCCAGCTTGGCTGAAACCAAACCTGGAACCAAACGGAAGCGAAATGATTTGTGGTTTGTGGATCCCTTGAATCCATATTTGCGTAAACGAGAGGATTGGTGTCCTGTAGGATTGAAAAATGTTGGCAACACTTGTTGGTTCAGTGCATTAATACAAGTAAGTGATAACTTAAAAAACTTATCAACTACCATCTCTATTTGTATTGACATCACTTTGCTTTATTACTTTTTTTTTTTTTTTAATTAAGGTAGTCTGTACTTTTTTTGTTTGTGTGTGTATATATATATATATATATATATATATACACACACACACACACACACACACAATTTATTATATAAAGTTTACCTAAAAAGATTTTCAATTTAAAAAAAAAAAAATTGATATAACTGCTGTAACAATAAAATCAAGTGATCTTTTAGAAGGAAATAGAAAAACTAAATGCTCTTAATGCTAAGTACACTTTTTGATTGATGCAATATATCCTTCCCTTTTTATATATATATATATATATATATATATGGATTTTCAAATGTATGTGAGCCTACCTTGTAGTAAGAAATTGATTTTTATGGGTTTTTTTTTTTTGGTTTTTTTGTTTATAAGTTTTGAAAATTACTGTAAATTCTTAAAGGCATTATTTGTTAATGTAAGCTTATAAATGAGAATAGACTTGTACATTAGATGTATGTATGCATTTGTGTTGAGTTTTGTTGTTTTTTTTTTAAATCCTTCAGGATTAAGTGATCATGACTCTCCATTTCTTTATTAGATGTATATTGCCAGGACTTGTTGGGAAGATAGAGGAGTGTCTATAGTTCTGGAATTTGGAGTTCTCCTTCTAAACAATCAAAGATTGAGAGTCCTGTTTACCTTGTTATTTAACCCATAGTTGGTGGGCAAATATGATTCATACATTTCTCAAGGACATTTGCACAAAAGAGAACACAATAGACAAAAATTTGAACTCTGCCAATTCAAATTTCTGCATCACTATTAGGCTACCTGCACATTTCTTGTGTTGATTGTAATTGTTTGAAATAGAAGTCAATAGTTATCTTGATAAGCAGAAACTATTAAAATGACAAATATGCAATAATACAACAAGTGATTCTTCAATGTAAACTTAATTTCTTTTTTTTTTCTTTTTTATGCAGTCTTTATTCCACGTGAACCGTTTTAGACACTTGTTGCTCAACTTTCAACCTCGTCCAGGGTATGATTTAGGTGCTTCCAATGCAACAGTAGGTATTATATTTTTTTTCTAAGTATAAGCACAGAAATATTTTAATATTTTTTTTTTTTTTTTTTTTTAATTTTCCCTCCTTCAGTATTTAACTTTTAGGCTAAAGTGCCAAAAAATGAGACAGCAGTACACTTGACAGCCATAGGATATGTAGGTGACATAATAAAGTGGTAGTATAGCTGCAGCAGTCATAGGGTGCAGACAGGGTTTAATGCTTATTAGTCAGAATGATGGAAATTCTATTTCCAATGAGCCAATTCCTAGGTTTTTATTGAGAAAAAGTAGAACAGTTATAACAGGAATATATGAATTTGGGATAGATATCAGTGGCACATGAATGTAGAGCCCACAGAGGTGATGTCAACTGAATGACAAGGATGGTAATCACCCATTCCATTAAATCAGATCCCAATTCAATGCTGGTGCTGCTCAACCCATTTTTCAATGTTTTGTATAGCATACTCTGCAGTCCATGGAGTTTTTTAGTCAATTAACAAGGCTATCATCGACACTATGGCACTGGTTACTGTATCTTACTTGGGTCAGTAAACATTCCCATTGAACCATAAGAAACTGATCTTGTTAGATGACTCATATTTTGGAATCTTTTGGGCAGAAGATCAAGTTAATGTATGGAAGAGACTGTTTAATTCTCTGGAACTAGTCTGTCAACAAGGTGTTGTACAAACTAGTGATACCAACTAATGTGGCATGTTCTGAGTTGACAAGGACCACTTGTGAAACTGGAGTCTACCTTGATAGATGTAATATAAGCAGATTTTATGCAAACTATTTGCACACCTTTGTGCTCACTATGTTTCACAATAATTATGGTTTGTTCCCACAAGATAATGCAGCTCCTCATCATGTGATATTAAACTGGTTCCAGGATTATTGAATTCCAGATATTTCACTGCTTGCCAGATCACATCCCATTGAGCATGTATGAAAGAGGTTGCATGTAACTTCTTTGCAGCCACACTCAACAAACACATTTTATGGACAGCATTGTTATGTGCCTGAAGAGATACTCATAGAAAGGCAACAACATCTTGTTGACTTCATATCATGTGTCTAATTTTGAAGCACTTCACCGGGAAGTAAGTTAGACCAAGAACTTTTTGGCTCCTACCTTGTATCTAAAATAAATTGAAAATGATTTTGCTCACCAAACAGAGGCCAATATTATTACAAGAAAACCTTTTTTTTTTTTTCTTACAAAATTTTATCAATTTTATGACATAAATTTAGAATGTATTTCCTCAGTCACTTTGTTTCTGAAAAATACAGGCTATTTGAAAATTTAATCACTTTTTGTCATAAGATCAATGTCTGGTGATAAGTTTCTTATTAAAATATTCTTTTTTATGATTTTAATTTCTATATACTTCTTTTACATGAGTTAGTATCAGTAACATGATCTGAGAAAAAAATGTATATTTTTAAACATTCTTAAATTTTCTTAAGATTCAAAATGTAATTTCTATTTTAAAATCTGCTTGGCAATCATAGATAGAAAAATGTAGTATTAAGTTAATTTTTTTAAACTTTGTGTCTTTAAATTGTACTTTTAATAAAGTTTGTGTTAATGGTTTTCTTATTGGGTTTCTGTATTTTTTTTCTCCCACTCTCCAGATATTTAATATTTTGTATTAGTAATTTCCAAGTTGTGTTTTGAAAAGGCTTCATATTAAAAAGAAAACTTAACATTTCAGGAGACACGTAGCTTGCGTTTCACTGAGGAACTAAGGAACCTGTTTGCTTTAATGATTGGTTCTTATCGAAAATATGTGGATCCTTCAAAAGCGGTTGAGATTTTGAAAGAAGGTTTTCGATCTCATACAGGTGTATCAGATAGCCAACAGGTTTGGTATTAAAAAAAATTTCTATTTTCGAGTTTTTAACAAAAATCTTTTATTGCATTAAAAATGTAATAAAAATACTTATGATAATGTGAAGTAGTTATTTCTAAAATTCTAAAAATGTTTTTAACATAATTCCATATGTTGCTAGCCTATTGATATTTGCAAATAAGCTTTCTGATATTGTTAAATAAAAATAGTAATCAAAATTTTTAAAAGGTGACCTTCTTATCTTCAAGTTTTGTATTTTGTCTAGAATTTGTCTTCCTTAATATAGTTATGTTTTATAACCATTTAGTCGCCCTATTTTCTTCTCGGTGCAATGAAATCTTTTCATTCTAGTAGATATGAATAATTTAATAAACTTTTTATACCACATCAAGTAATAATAATAGAAAATTTAAAGAACCTGAAAAAGATTAGACAAAAAAAATAAAAATAATAAAGTAAAAACTGAGTACCAGAGCATATTCTCTTGTATATATTTTATATTACTGAAAACTTGGTTTAATTTTTTAAATATTGTATGCAAAGACAATTTTATAGAGAACTAAAAGATTTAGAAATATAGGATTGTAAATATTTATATTTACTGGATTTTGTTGAAATTACCAAATTACTTTTTGTTTTTTTCTTTCTTTTTTTTACCAAAAAAAAAAAACAATACAAATATTATCAGTCAATGCCATTGCTATACAAATTAGACTAACAAATTAGATCAAATATTTATTTTATTATAAAAATAAATTTGAATAAATTTACTGTGGTATGAAGTAGGTTTTATATTAAGTGTATTCAGTTTAAAATATTTTTTCTAAGTAAAACTAACATATAAACTAATAACTAACAGATCAGCTTTTCAGTTTTTATTTAATAATGGTTATATCTAATTACAATCATTAATTGTTAAGTAATTATTTTAAAATTTAGCAGTTAACCAACTTGACTGTTTTCATAAAAAAATGCTAACTCATAGAAGGATATTATCTGAACATATATTTTTTTAAAATTTGTATTTAAACCCAATCAACTAATTCATTTCCTCACTTAACTGATACCAGTGATTTTCATTTCAGGATATCAGTGAGTTTCAAGGTAAACTCCTTGAATGGCTTGAAGATGCTTTTAAACATTCACCGTCCACTGTGCCAGAGTCTTCTGGAGCTGCTTGCAGCAAGTAGGAATAACTTTTACCCTTGTCTACCACTTGGCAAACTTGATGTCGGCAAAAGTTATCATTAGAATTATCTTTTTGGTTTTTATTCTTTAACATAAAAATTGATTAGCAGAAAACTTAGACTCCACACTAAATTCATATTTTTTGAAATATATAATTAAAAGGGAAATTACTTCTAAATGTTTTTCATTGTGTTTCAGTATTTTGCTTTTACTATGAGCCACTATCCACAAAAAATTGGTGAGGGAATTCTTGTTTTGATGTCCCCATCTTTTCTCATATATTGTTAATTTTACAATGTCTAGAGATGTAATTATTGATAAAATATTTAACAATTATCACAAAAATGCTTAAGTTCTATGTTCAGAAAAAAAAAAATATTCATTGTTCTTAAATCTTTTAAAATTGTAAATAATTTCCTTTCTAGAGAATCTAAAGAACCAAAAAATCCAATGATAGAATTGTTTTATGGAGACTATTCTGAAATTGGAAATAATAAGGGTAAGTATAATGGTATTTCTATGCATAAAATCATTTACAGAAAACACAAACATAAATTTATAGACAATTTTATTCATAATTTTAAAGATGATTGCAAAGTAATGTTATTAAAAAGTGAAGAACTGTTCAAAATGTCAACTGTAAAACAAAAATATAATTCGCAAATATAAGTTCATTTATATAAAGGCTCAATTCATGTACCAAGATGTGTGTGAAAAGCTGATAAGTTAAAAAATTTTCTCAAATTTTAAATTGCAGAATGTAAAAATGTAATACAAATAATGTATATTATTTTGCTATTCAGTTATATGTAATGCTTTCATCTTTATTTTTAGATGAGCATATTATATTAAGGTGACAAATGCAAATCCAATTCTATTAGTATGGTCTTAAATGCTTTATCATTCCGCATAACCAAAATTTGTATCTCACTTGAATATGACCTTTGGGACAATATATATATATATATATATATATATATATATATATATATATATATATATATATATATACTAGCAAAAAAAAGAAACCTTATGGGGTGGGGACATTTAAGCTAGCTCTTGCAGAGAACTCTTGATTGGACCTTCATTGCAATTGGTAGGGAGTAGATATGATAGGCAACAATAAACTACAGAAGAAATCAAAACTGATCACTGCATTTAAGTATTGCATTAATATTTAAGTTTACCTTTTACAAGTTCAATGATAATTCTTCTGCTGCCACTTAATTTAAAGACATTTTAATGTATGTAGGTCCTCACTTTCTATACAAACAATTATTTTTATTTCATGGGTGACTTTCGCTGGATTTCACGATTAATTTTGATTATACCCAAATTTATTTCCGAGTTATAAAAATTACTGTACAAAAAAATTTCTCACAAAAATCACGTAAAATAATTGTCGAAAACAATGACAGTAATGAAAACTTGGTAATCCAAAATTTCAGGATTGTGGGTCTGGATCCAGTCCAGAATATTTTTAATTTGTTTACAGTCAGCCTGATTCCAAAATGGTATAATGTGTTTGTCTATGGCCTTTAGGAATAAAGTTGAAAAAATGTGACAGTGACACACTGACATTAGCATTTATTATATAGATACACACACACACACACACACACACACACACACACACACACACACACACACACACACACACACACGAAGAAAGAGTATTTTTCCATTGTACCTTCGCCACACTCTCTGATTCCAGTCATCCATCGTCTTAGTAGTAGAAACAAAGTGTGTATATAGTGAATGCAGTAACATCACTAAATTTATAAAATTGTTTTTACTATTAAATTGAGTGTTCTGATTCATGAATTTTATATTTTAAATGCTCAATCTTTTTTTTTTCTTTTTTCATGTATAGAAGATGAAAATGTATTTTTGCAATTCAATTTAAATGTAAATGGTGTGCGTGATGTCCATGAAAGCCTGGAACAGGAGACTACTGGAGGGAGCCAAGCATCTCCAGATGAATCAACCCCGGCAAAAGAGGTTAGAGGTTTTTTCATTGATCTTTTTTTCTTCAGTTCTTCTTGTATTGAAATCATCTTCATATATTGTATATAATAAATTAATACAAATGAAACTTTCTCACTTAAATCTTTTGGTAGTGACTAAATTATAAACTAATTAACTTAATTACTTATATCTGATGTTTAAATATTACATCGACACTTAATTTAAAGTTTGCTTTATTTAAGCTAAAAAATAATTACATTTGATGGATTATACAAAATTTTGTTTACCATTTTAATAAATAGAATTTACTGTGTTATATATAAAATAATTGTATGGGCATATTAGAAGGGATTTTTATCTCTCCAATTAAAAAATGTTTCTCTTTTTGTATTCATTTTATGTTTGCCACTTCAGATTTGGTTCAACAAACTTCCCCCTATAATGACTTTTATGTTAACACGTTATGACTACAATAAACAGTTACAACGCTCAGAAAAACTTCACAACAAGCTAGAATTTCCTCAAGTTCTTTTTATGGATAGGTGAGTTAGTTCCTTTAAATTTATTATGTCAGTATCATCTGAACATAGATTTTCTCATGTATTTGTCAGCAAAATAAATTGTTTTCTTTTGTTTCAGGTATATGCACATTAATAAAACTGAAACAAAAAAGAGACGTGAAGATTCCAAAAAACTACGTGAACAATTGCAGACTTTACAAGCAAAATTAGATACGTGAGTTATTGCAGTCTTCGCTATTCCTGCAAGTTAAAAAAGAATAAAAATGGCTAATTTGCTTTAAAGCATTGTTATAAAGTTAGCTTTTTTGCAGGTTTAAATATTCTATTTTGGTTATAATAATGTGTACAAAGTTTTTGTCAACAACTTTTTACTATTGCAAAATTGCTGATGTGTGTATGTTTTTTGATCAATGTTAAATATGCCAGTAAAGTACACCCTATTATTAATCATAGATTAATTGAAGTAACTATTTTCCTCTGCTATTAAATGCAAAGTTACATTCATGTAGAAGTAATAGTGTACCAAAAAAGCCAATTTACATTTATATTTACTTTTAGTTAACACATTAGCTATCATTGATATCATCTCTAATGAGTAAATTTTAGCAAGTGTTTAATGTCACTTCGGAATGATTGTTCCTGTTCTGGTTTTTATTCTAGTAGCTCTTGGATGATTCAGGTACTATCCCTAAACTTTTTGTTTCAATTTCTATATTTTTATTCTGTAAATGTTCACCAATCTTTACTTTTTATAATTGAAAATAGATGCTTATAATATTTTGAAAAAAAAAAATGATTGACTGACCATTCTTTTTAGTAATCTCAGAACAATTTATTATAAATTCTTGAGTTCAAAGAAATTTGTACTCTAAAGAAAAATTATGTATTTTAATATGCTGTTATGGTAGACATTTTCTTTTTTCCTGGATTAGTAAAACAGTTGACTACTTACTGTGCTAGACAGTTGTTTTTTTTTTTCTGTGTATTATTTTTAGATTTATTAACTATGGATCTGGAAGGAAACGTGTTCCACTTCAGGATGTTTTGCAATATGCATTGGAGTTTGCTGAAAGCAAAAGAGACTGTGATGATATTATGGATAATAGCAGCTCTAATGATGTAGAAATGGAATCTCCGAAACCTTCCACGTGAGTATCTATGTCAACTGTTAGAAAATATACTTAGTTTATTATTGTATCTAGAAAAGTATCAACAAATCTAACATTGAAGAAAATATTTCAAAGTTTGCATACCTGAATAAATTATTCTATATTAATATAGGCTCCCTGACAATTTATAAGCTTCATTAGTCATTCATTGATTTAATTTTTCTACCGTTTCAACTTTAACATTATTTGAAGCAACATTTATTGCTTCTCAAAGAACATTGTTTGAATGTTGTTTTACATTCTCATATACATTTCTTTTATTGATGAATCCAAACTTAATTATTGGATTAATATCTGGAAAGGCTGGGGGGGGGGCATTTTGTTAATTTTTATCTTTTGAAACCTTTTGTGGGAATTACCATATTTACAGAATGTTAATGAGCATTGGTTTGCATGAATATACTCTTTAGCTTAAAGCTTTGATTGTAGCTTGTACAACTCAAAAATTATCTTGTTCAAGAACTTAGAATAATTCTCTGCATTTACTTTAATACCCACATCAACTTTAATTTGACTTGTCTACAATATTAGCCCAAAGTATTACTTCATTTCCCCACCCACTATTGGCATATAGTTGACTGTCTATAAATGACCCAACCTCTAGCCCAGCTATCAAATATTAGGCTAAATTTAGTACTAAAAATTACTGTTGAAAAATGAAAAATCGATTTTCCTGTACCTCTTTGCTCAGTTTACACATCACTTTGTGATGTTTAGTTAAAAGTAGCAGTTCAGTTGCTTTCATTGCTTTAGACAATGTTCTTAATATTTTGCATCTTGTTTCTATTTACACTTGCTATATCAGTTTCTTCAAATATTTAATTGCTTGTTAATCCACTTTTCTTGCTTGTTATCATTTTAATTTTTCCCAAATCTTATTTATAATATTTTCAAAGCCAGTTTTTTTTTCTTATTTTGCCATGTTTTCAATTTCTTTTTTGATTCTTCTATGATTTCTGAACTTTCTCAATTTCCAATATTGTGTTCCCATCACTCAATTTTACAATATCTTGTGTTTCTTTTGAGATTATATCTTTTTTTATGACATATGGCAATCTTTGTGCATTTAAAAAAATAAATGTGTGTGTGTGTGAGGGGGGGTGAGAGAGATGTATATAATTTATAATAGGTGGGGGAAGTATTCAGTATAGTATATTGCATTATTTACTTACATATATAGTATGTATTCATTTCAAAATTACATCACATATAGGTTTCTTCTTTACAATAGTAAATATGAGCAAAAGTTTCAAGAAAAAAAATTTATAAAATTATAAAATATGGTTTTTAAAAAAAAATTTGTAAAAGTATTCAGTGTTTTACATCAAGTATAATCAAACACAGCCTAATATATTGTGGGATAGCCTTTGTTTACAGTGACAAGCTTCAGTCACTTCCAATAAGTAGTCATTAGCTTAAGACACTCTTTTTGTTGATATTTTGGGCCAATTTCCATGGAAAATCTTCAATTCATTAAAATCACTTTTATTTTCTTAAACAGTTGGCAGCGTTGACAGTTTTTTCAGGATCATTGTCATGCTGAAACACCCAGTTTCATTATTAAAGCTTTGACTGAAGTAAGGAAGTTCATGTTCAATATATTTTGATACATGGCTTCCTTCATTCTTCTTTTGATTATACTGAAGTTTTCCTGTACTAGGTGATGAAAAACAGCCTCACACTATTACATTGTCATTTCCAAGCTTTGAAATTGGTGTGGTGATTAAATTCTTCATTCTTCTTTCTCTTAATCTATAATGTGAATTGAGGCTAAATAACTATATCAGCTGGTGACATGGTAGTGTAATGGATTGCAGCTTGGATTGAAGAATCTGAAAGCTGAGTTCAGTTTCCAGTTGACTTCATTACATTCACTTATATATGCTAATACCCTTGGGAGAGGGTATGAATCCGACTCTTCCTATCGCACAAGCTATGGGTAAATAGTAGGACAGACTGGGTTCTATAGCCTTGGATGGCAACCAGTCTAGAGATGGTGACTCAATAAAATTTCCCAGCAGGCCTGGGCCACTTATGGAGATACATTGGCCCATGAAAACACACACTGGCTGAAATTCTTCAGTCATGTGAGTTGTGCATTCTGCTACAGGCAGAGAAAATGTTTACTCTTAACTCTATATTGGTTTCCTTAGACCAAACAATATTATTCATGTGCTACATGATTGCAAGTCATGCTGGCAGAGTGTATTGTCCTTTAAGCTTAGAGATCTACCAACTCCTTGCAAGTAATCTTTGACTGTTTCTTTACCATCCTTACAATCTTACTTGCAGTCACCTTTCCACTTGCAAACAATTGAACCAATGTTACATGGATGAAGTTGCAGCTTTTTACTGATGTAACCTTTATTTTTACAATTGTTGCAGGTATCAACACTTTTGATGAGATTTTTATGCTCTTGGTTCATTTGACCCACAAACAATTTTGGCAGACTTATTTAATTCCACAGAAAAAACAAAACGTAGAATTTAAACAAATATTAACAAATATATTGATACATTTCATAAAAGGAAAAATGAGAAATTAAAAGTGAAGAGTTCAAAGCACCCTTCAGTGCCTGTGTAGTTGAGGTACTTAGATGTTGGTGAAAGTGAAAAGAATACATCTTTCCACTATGAAAAATCACTGAGAAAGAGATGAATTCTTTCAAATCTTGCACTGCCTGTGATTATCATCAGAAGGCTTTTATCCAATACAATAAAAAAGATTAACTATGGTATCACTGAGGTCTGTAGACTGTTCCTTAGTTTTGGGTATTATGAATGCTACTGCAATGATAATTAGCAATCAGCAGATACATCATACCATCATCCAAAGAATGTTAACTACTACTGTTGTAAGTAGTTATAGAATGACTTACAGCTGTTTAAAACCAACTGCCTAGAAATTTACATTCTCTAGCAGCATTAGTTTACTCCTTTTATAACTGGGTATTGAATACTTTTTGCTTCATCTTTATGTAACCATCACCAGCCTGCTGCACCTTGTTGACAACTTGGCTCTGTGTTATGGTGTCTGTGCCGAAACTAAACTCTACCATCAACTCAAAACAACTGGAACCATGACTCATTGGACATCATGAGCCCAGGTGAGCTGCTCCAGGTGATGTTAATAGGAGCACCATGGTGGGTCTTCTGCTCCCATGTTCCATGGAAGCTAAAGAACACTGAACTGACCTGCTGATATGTGTCTGGTACCTCTTGCACTGAATGTGATTTGAGCCAATGCTGCTTGTCTGTTACCAAAACAATTGTAATCAGACACCTGGTTATGATCATTAAGGACCTGTCATCAGCTACTACACTATAGTTGATAGTAATACTTTTCATTAGGTACTCTGGATATACATATGACACAGTAGATTGAGGAGTACCCACAATTTCAGAAATGAAATGTTTCATTTGTTTAGCACCCACTATTATTCCCTGTTTGAACTCCAATAATTTACATAATCTTACCATGAGTGTTCCCACTGACTCACCAGATATGGATCTAAGCATGTCCATAATCTAATCTACCATGGTGTCAACTGCCATTACCTTTGCATATTGCTCTTCTAAGAATTTTGCTTTTGTAATTTTAAATTTTTGTTCATATTTACTGTTGTAAAGATGAAAATTATGTGGTCTAATTTTGAGTTAAATGCATATAGAAATTATGTAGCAATCTGACTTTTTGGATATATATTGAATACTTATTTTTTTCACTGTATTTACAATATGATGAACAATTCTTGAGTTGTATAATAAAATCTTACACTATAAAGTAGGTTATTGTAAATATTTCTAATAAAATATATTATAAGGTAAAAATTCACATGGTATATTTATCATAAAGCATATCCTGAAAGCTTTATCAGATTAGTTATTTTATTTTAATTAACTGGATTTTACATGTCTCATTCCATATGTGCAACAGAGAAAGTTCATGAAATCAAGTGTATGGGTCACTTCATGGCAAGTTGAGGTCCACCTTAAACAAATTTATGCCATTAGCACTTTCTTCTACTCTGATTTTCTTTCACCTCCAACCAAATCTTACAAAGCCAAGCAGCAATAGGGAATGGATGATTGGAGCAGGTTTTGGTAAAACTGGAAGCTTCTAGTCTTGAATCTGCATGTTGGTGGTGAATTTAGTCATTAATGCCATCATCATAAAGGAAGCAATCATCAAAGAAATTAAATTCTTGGACATGAGATAAAGCTGATAAAACAAATTTTGTTAACTGCTCAAATTTTTGTCTGAAAATTTAAAATTTTATAAATGTAAAGAGTTTTCCCCTCATCATTTTATTTTTTTTTTTTTTTTTTTTTTTGTAACTACTATCTATGCAAATTTATGTGTATACTGTGAGTACTGCAGAAGGCATTTTTATAATGCTAAAATGTCAGTGTAACTTAAAAACTTTTTCTTTTTTTTTTTTTATTTTATTTAATTATGTAAGCAGTACTCCTGAATCTATGGCTCCTGTATCAATTAATTCTACCATTGCAAAATGTTCCCCTGTCAGCCCTATGTCGTCCATCAAAGTACCAAACCCTTCTCCTAGAAATGTCTCAGAGAGTGAGCTCCAAGTTCTACAAGATTGCTTGTGTCGATGGCGGACAGAAGTTGAAAATGAAGTTAGAGGTAACACTCATTGTTTTGATTTATTTACAGTAATCATTTAATTATTGATTCTTTTATATTTACATGTGAATTTTGGAGAATAATAAAGTGTTAAACAGTAACCTGAAATTTTATTTAAATCTTATATAAGAGTAATGATCCTAGCAATATTTTTTTTTTACTTTCTATCAGTATGATTTTATTATATTTTTTTTTACTTTCTATCAGTATGATTTTATTATATTCTTTACTAATATGGCTGAGCAACTTAGAAAAGCTTTTTCATTTTTCTTCAGATTTACAAGAAAATATTGGTATCCTTGAGACTAGAATCAACAGAATGTATAGCGATGCTGGAATGCAGAAGGTGCTTATGTAAATTCTGTAGTCTTGTTTTGATTGGTTAACTATAGTCAACATACCTTTTTTTTTTTATTTAAGTAAACTTCTATATGCTATATATATTAGGATAATACAATCATTTTAATATAATACAATTCACTGAGTAAATAAAATAAATTTAAAGGAGACATGTAGTTTAAATAAATCCTCATTTATATCATATATTTAGCTTTGGGTATGTTGCTGGAGTTCCTTTAATTTTAGTATTTCTTTACATTATGAACATATTGGTTTCAAATAGGTTGTATTTATCAATTAATTTCTATGATTTAACTTCCTTTAGTTACAAATTAAAAACAAAGAACAAATGTCCTATTTCACATTGTTAGCTCCCCTAATGAACAATGATCTTTACATGCAAGTAAGTTTAGCAATAGAAAAATCTTGTTTTTTGTGTGAAAATCATTACTTCCTTGTTGTCCTTATTTTTAACTTGCAACTTATTTAAATATGATATATACTTAGTATGTATGAAGTAAGCACTCTTCATTGCAAAAACCATATATTATCAAATATATATCTTAGTTTTAAAGGTACTTGAGTTGTCTCACACAACTCCAGGTTCATAGAACAACATTGTACATACATTCAATAAATATCTTCAAAACTCAAGTTACTATTTCCATAGTAATGATGAAAAATAAGAAAAAACAAATAGACAATGTTGAACTTTCAACATTGGAACATTTTCTGCTAGAGAAAGAATTCTTTCTTTACTTTGATAAGGTTAAAAGGAGTGTAAACACTAAGTAGAAGTGTAAATGTCTGGCACAAACTTCCAAATATTTGTTGTGTATTGCTCATCACTTATATAATAGTATTTTTTAAACTTTTATGTGTACTAAAATATTACTATTTTACTTAATTTCTTTTATTTTTGTTTGTTAAATATTCAGCACTATATATATATTTTTTAAATTAATGAATTTTGATACATTCTACATAATTACCTTAATTGTGAAATGAAGAAGGATTTTTCTATATATATTTAGAATTATAAAGCAAGTGATTAAATCAAGGTTTGCAAAGCAGATTTATTTATGACATCTTAAACCTAATTTAGCTATATTTATTTGATATATTTAATTTAATTTTTATTTGATTTATGTTGTTCCATTTGCTTTTTCAGTATCCTTATCATTTACATGCTGTCCTTGTCCATGAAGGCCAAACAGCCTCTGGTCATTACTGGGCATACATTTTTGACTTAAAAAAACAACGTTGGCTTAAGTTTAATGATATTACAGTTACTGAGTCAACTTGGGAAGAATTAGAGAAGGAGAGTGTTGGTGGCTACCACAATTCCACTGCTTATTGCCTCATCTACATCGATAAGGAACGAGCAGTAATGAATGAGGGTAAAGCTTCTTTATTTGTTCTTTTTTTTCTTTAATACTTTCATTCATACATTAGAGTTTGTAATTAACACTATGCATAGATAAATTTCTACTTAAACCTTAGGTATGTTTAAACAGAATTTATAAATTTTTTAAAAATCTGAAGATGCTTTTAAAAAAACTTTTGAAAGTGGGTATAGAATATAATTACTTTCTATTCTCACTTTCAAAATACATGCATATTTATATTACAAACTGATCACATTGAGAGTAGGTTGTTGGGTTTCAATGTAATCAGTTTGTAATATGTTGGTATATTATTAATATATGCACCTCATCATTTTCAATTTCCCCAATTTTTGTAGCCATGATTCACAGCTATCTTATTTCCTCAATTAAGCTCTGATGAGAGGGAGTAACAAGAACTGGTCAGCTTCTTCTTTTTTTTTTTTCTTCTCACCCCCTCTCTTCTTTTTTTATCAATATATATTTTATTTTTAAAATTGCCATTTATGGTGATTGTCAAAAGAAAAATTATTTCCCTCTCTAATTTAACCTTTTTTTTTCCCTTAAATAAATATTTTTATAACATTTTTTTTTTTTTTACCCCCAATAAGATTTTTATATATCAGATATTAGTATAAAATAAAACTTGATCTCATATTACTTAAAACTAACAAAAAATAACTGTTTACAACTCACAATTATGTGGGATCCCTCAAAGTAAAATGTAAGTAGCATCTTATTTTTTATCAGTTATCCTAATTACTTTATATCTTGCACATTTAAGCATTATTAATCAAATTTGATATATATATATATATATATATATATATATATATATATAATAGCTAGGAAAAGGCAAAATTTATATGGCATTTTTTAAAAAAAGCTAAAAAAGATCAACCTGTTTCGTCCCAGGACTTATCAAGTTTATTTTTCTGGGAATAAAAAAATATAAAAGCATGTAAATTAAATTAATGAATGGAATGGGGGGAAAAAAAGAATTTAAGAAACTAGAGTCTAATAACATTCAGACCCAGTAAGCATTCCCCCTGTTTACAAAGGGAAGGCACATGGTATCTTATATACAAGGACTCTAGAACCTTAAGGTAAAATGTGCAGTGGGACCTAGATAAAATTGAAAAATGGTCCGCACTAAAATCAATCACACATTTCCTGCTATTTGTTACATGCCCAGCAATAGCAGAGCCAGAAGTATTGGTTAGTTGGCTCTTTGTGGCAGCTGGATTCAAAATCCTGGGGTGTAAGTGTTGTTTTATTCTCCAATCTAAACGCTATATATATATATATATATATATAGTTCTTGGCAGATTTTTATCTTTTTCAGGTAAAAGTATGTTTTTTTTTTTCTCATTAAAATTTGGCTCATTTAAATTTTTGCATGCATAATTTAGAAAAAAATTTACAGGTTAATTAACATATTTATCAAGCTCTGTAAAACTAATGTATTAAAATGTACACAATTTAAAATAGTTGATATTTTAATTTGGATTTTTTATTAGTCTGCATGTATTTTAATTTCTAAATACCCAAATACAGACATGTGCATATGCCTATATTTTTATTTCATGTCTTTTTGGCATTAGCTGATGACAGTTAAGTGCAACCATTACTTCATTAATTCCTTGGTAAGGCTTGTAATATTTTTAGGAAATTATTTATAACTTATATCAGTTTACAGTAAAAAGAGAAAATAACCTTCCTTATATCTGAATGAATCTTTTTTAAATTAAAAAAAATTTTTGTCCTTTTTAGTGGAAGGGGATGACTTATCTCCTATTTCTCAGCTACCACTTCATCTCCGTCAACTGGTAAATGAAGACAATACAAAATTTACAAAAGAACTTGAGGATTGGGATAGAGAACAAGCTAAGAAAAATGCAGCCTCTGCTGCGGCTGCTGCCTCTGCTGCAAGTGATACGGAAGTTACAGTAATTTCCAAACACAAAAACAGTTAGTATTTCATGAGTCTTAGTCTTTCATTATTTATATTTTATTGTTATGTTAATAATGTAAATTTCTTAATTTTTATTTTTATCATTGCTTATAACTGAATTTTCATCAATTATCCATAAAATGTTTGTCTATTCATGAAGCTAAAGTAACTGGATAGTAATATTAAATAGCTTTCAATTCCACTGGACTTGACAAATATAGTAAATGCATCAATAAATTTACTTAAAAGAAAAAAATTGAGTTATTAAAGCTGACAGACATGAATACCTAATGACTCCTGTAAAATTTTCTGCAGCAATTTTGGAAATATGCAGGCACTTGTTAATTTGTTTTTATTTTAATTGGCATTCATGGAAAAAAGGTATTAACATTTTGAACTGGAAATTTTTGCTATCTGTAGTTTTAGCTAAAACTATTTAATATTTTAAATATTTAAATTTCCTGTCCTAAAGAGTGCATATTTTTCATGTTTGATGAATATAAATTCTGGATAAATATATTGAAGCATAAAAATACCATATAATATTAGGTATCCCAAACTGCCTTGGTTTACAGTGCAAAAACCTGTCAAAATAGTGTAATTTCGTCTTTCAATTCAACTGCTGATATATTTATTTTCTAGATTATTTTGATAAAGTTAGTATGTAAACTGTTGTAGCCCAAAATATTAGGAACAACAAAATATAACAAAACACAGTTAAATATATTTTAAAACACAACAATATTTGTTTTTATTCTCACCAACCAGGAATACAGCAGGATTGAGTTGAATAAACAATTCACTGTCTACAGGTGGTGTATTGTCCAGCAGCCATGTTGTTGCCTCACACTACCCTTTTTTCCGTGAATAGTCAATGATTCATTAGGGAAGATTGTATCTCTCAACATAAACAAAATTTAATCTTTTCACATGCAATTCTTTCTTGTGTGTGATTATTACTTTTTATTGTGTCTCTTTAAATTATGTCACTATTCAATGACTGCACTTTTTTCAACATTTTCAATGTTGACAATTTCATAGTGGTGTTTTTAGAATTTGTTCTGCTTAAAGTTGTCTCCCTACCCATATCGCAATAGTCCTATCTTAAAAAAAGATGCTTATCAATTTGGTGGGCTTAAGATAAGTTTTGAAGTAGTTGAAGGGTTGAATAAACAATTTACTGTCTGTAGGTGGAGTATTGTCCAGCAGCCATGTTGTTGTCTCTTTTTTTCTGTGAATAGTCAATGATTCGTTAGGGGAAAGTTGTCTCCCCTAATACCTCCCCTTTTTAGCCTTTTGTTTGTATGACTTGTTTCAGGAATTTATTTGCAGTTGATAGGGTTTTCTCTGAAGTCTATATGATTTCCTAAGTACATGTTTAGGTGGAGTCCTAGAATTATACTTTGCTATATCTTGGGAACATTTTGGAGTGAGTTCGAAGGTGTCCAATAGGATATGTAGCGGTAGCGTAAAGTTTGATTTAGTCTCTGGAAGGTGAGAGGATTGTAATTAGTTTGCATGTCGAACACAAACTGTAGACTTTATATCTACATCATATGTAACATTTCCAGAACAATGCATCCTTGAATCCATTTTTCTTTGCCATTGCGGTAGTCTTTAGCAAGTATGGATTGTCCTGGTACATATTTGTGTTTCACTGCTCCATGATGTTGGTTAAATTGTTTCTCCATCATCATATTCCTTTTTTGGGAATGTTTTGGAGTAGGACAGATGACATCCATATACAAACAAACTTTATGATTCATCAGTGCTTCTGCTGGGGAGTTACCATTAGGTGTGTTTGTATTTGGTGTAGCTCTGTAACTACTGAGGAATTTCTAATATTTTTTGTGTGGTTCCCACCCCTTTGTTTTTTTTTTTTTTTTTTGAGAACTCTCTTAAAAGTATCTACAAAATGCTCTACCTGTCCATTTGATTGGGGATAAAAAGGTGAGGTTCTAATATGTTGGATGCCATTAAGTGCACAGAAATTTGAAAATGTAGGTGAAGTGAATGCAGTGCCATTATCAGAAACTAATATCAAAGTGACTGAAAATATGTTTCAGCTTTAGAATTGTTTCATCTGCAGTGATGCAACTCATTTGAAAAATTTCTGGCCATTTACTGAAAGCATCAACAAGTATAAAATAACACTGTCCATTGATAGGTCCAGCGAAATCAATGTGAAGGTGTGACCAGGGTGATTCAGGGATAGGCCAGGAGTTCAGTGTAGTTTTTCTGGGAGATTTTGCTGCCATTGTTTATTCATGTTAGGCCAATAGGTCTAGCTGTGTGCTAGGGCTTTCATGTGGCTAATATCTTGATGACCATGATGGAATTGCTTGATCACTCTGTCCTGTAATGAGGATGGGACAATCACACGCTCAGCAAAAAGAAGAGTCATCAACTTCTGACAATGAAGTTCGACGTTGAAAGAAAGGTTGAATTCTTTTGTCCGTGCATACTTTTGGCTATTTTGTACGCTGGAATTGCATCATTTTTTGTAGAACTGGATTGAAAGCTGTGGCTTCACGGATCATTGTAGAAGTGACTGGTAATGCTCTTACAGTGGATGCAAATACTGAAGTGATGGCTCCAGAGATACTGCTGCAATGATAGTCCTCTGGTACTTTATTTTGTATTGTCATGAACCTAGATAGTGCATCAGCAGGACCAATTGTATAAGTTCTGTTATACTTTATAGTAAAGTGTAGTCACCCATCTTTGCAGACAGTTTGCTGTATAAAAAGGAATACCTTTTCTGGATCCCAAAATACTGAGAAGGGGCTTGTGCTTTGTGATCAGAGTAAAATGGCACCCATACAACATTTTATGAAACATTTTAATAGCAAAGACTATTGCTAAGGCTTCCTTTTCAATTTAGCTATAGTTGCGTTCTGCAGGTGTCAGTGATCTAGATGCATGAGCAATTGCCTTTTGGTCGCCATCAGGAAAAATGAGAAATGACAGCTTCAGTACTATAATTAGAAGCATCTGAGACTACACAGTTAATATATTTTAAAACACAACAATATTTGTTTTTATTCTCACCAATCAGGAATACAGCAGGATTGAGTTGAATAAACAATTCACTGTCTACAGGTGGTGTATTGTCCAGCAGCCATGTTGTTGCCTCACACTACCCTTTTTTCCGTGAATAGTCAATGATTCATTAGGGAAGATTGTATCTCTCAACATAAACAAAATTTAATCTTTTCACATGCAATTCTTTCTTGTGTGTGATTATTACTTTTTATTGTGTCTCTTTAAATTATGTCATTATTCAATGACTGCACTTTTTTCAACATTTTCAATGTTGACAATTTCATAGTGGTGTTTTTAGAATTTGTTCTGCTTAAAGTTGTCTCCCTACCCATATCGCAATAGTCCTATCTTAAAAAAAGATGCTTATCAATTTGGTGGGCTTAAGATAAGTTTTGAAGTAGTCTTTCATAAAAAAAATTCTGAGTTGAAAATTTTAGTGGATACCACAGAAATTCAACACTTAAAAAAATGAAAACTGCAGTTTTTATAGAATCATGTCTCATTTTAAATAATAGGTTGGTTCATATTTCTGCACCTGTACAACATGGTGCACACAAAAAATAAAAAATGCAAAAATGAGTTTACTGTATTCATTTCATGCAAAACATTTTGGATCTGATGCATTGAAATTTGTATTGTTGACCAAGTGAATGAAGATCACCAAATGAACACCATTTTAAATCAGACTGGTTTTATTCATTACAATTTAAATCTTTTTCTTATATTTTTTCTAATGATGCATTTTAAAACTGTATAAAGTACTTATTGTATTTTGTCCAAACTAATGTTCAAATCACTTTTGCCTTGGCTTTTATTTTATGCATTTTCTTAAAAAAACATTAAACAGAATTCATATTATAAAATGAAAAAGTAAATATTTAAAATGGACATATTCTTGCTTTTTTAAATTTCGCATTCACATTTGTTTATTAAAAAAAAAAATTTTTTTTAAGTGTCCAATTTTCCTCTTAATGGTCATTCATTTCATTTACATTCATGGCTAGCAATATTTTCTCTAATTCTCAGGATTTGGGGATTAAATTGAAAATTTATTTCCATTTTCTTTTCAAAAAATAAAACTGAATACATTTTATAAGATAAATGAACTGGGTATATGTTCAAGCATAACTTTGGCACATGATTCCATAAAAAATTGAAATGTAATAAGGTAATTTTCAAAAAGTAATCAGTTTCTTTTTTTCTTTCTTTTTTTATTATTTGTTTACTAATTCTAGGGATTGGGTCCTTTATTTTGTAGTTCTTTAACTTTTGCAAATGTCTTTTCATAATTTTTTTTTCCTTAAGCTATTATGGTGTAACATTTTTGTTTATTTCAGATTTTTTTAGTTTGAAGGTAAATGAGTTTAAAGCGTTACAATAAACATTTGTTTGAAGAATTGACCAATAATTCCTTTCATGAAATAAATTTTTAAGTTTTGTAGTTATTACTGTCTTATTTTAACAAGTTAAAAACTGCATAATTTCACAAAATTTTCAAAAGTTAGGTACATATATGAGAAAAGTTATTCATATTACAAAAAAAAAAAAAAAAGAACTTTTATTGAATTCCTCATCCCAAAATTAATAAAAGTTTCAAAGTTTTTAGTGATGTACCTCTAATGGATACTTTTTATAGCAAGTTCAGTATGGTATACTTTTGAGCAGTTTTTGCTCTATTGTCAAATTGCACTGCATGTAAATATGAGGCTTTTTTATTTACTACTGAAAAATAATTTAGCTTCATCTTTGTTGTGCTATGAATCATAGGAAGAACCTGTAACATTAACGATGTAAACCGTCAAAAGTGCCCTTCTGTGTCATGTTTTATCTATTATGTTTTTGAGAAAACAATTTTTCCCAAAGTTGAGACTGGTCAGATCTAATAATTATTGAATCCATTTGTATTATATTTCTTTTTTTTTACGACTATCCATATGACATTACATTTATAATGATTTTTAACTTGTCTGAAGCCTGCATCTTCAGTCATACACTGTAAAAATTAGCTTCTGTCCTAATAGCACATGAGACAGAAAACTAACAAAATTTGAATAGTCATAACTTTGTTGCTAATTTAGCTACCAAAATAAATTTGGTACCATTTTTTATGTTTTGTCAAGTTATCCATGCCTATATTAATGGTTTTTAGATATAGTGACAATAAAATTTGAATTTGGGATATCTTATATATGGGAATTGTCTTACTTAGATCTGACCATAAGCTGCCTGATGATGATACTAACTTTGTATAGATTGTTGCATTAATCAACCCAATTGATCTTTATAAACTCTGGTGTATAATTATAAATATTTGACAGAAAGGTTGTGTATAACTTGCAGAATATTGTAATAATAATTCTGTTAATAGCACCAAAATATGTAGGATTTCTTCATTTTCTGACATTATTTTTGTAAAGATTTGATTTACAGACACTATGTATTTCCAGGTCAAAGTGTGAGTACTCAAACCCAACAACAGCAATCTCCTCTTCAGCATTTGCAGCCTTTGCTTCCAAGAAAAATGAAGTTGTCTGAGACTCATGCTCAGCTGTCCTTCCAGCAGACCATCAATGCAGTAACTGCAGCAGTGGAAGCTGATATCTACACAACAAAAGGCCCTGAAGCTGCTTTACTTAAGGTAGTATACACACAAATTAAGCACAATAAAAAAAAAATTAGATGTTTTGCATTACTTAAATTACAATAACGAATAATAAAATGTAAGGATAGCTTACATTTTGATTTTTTGGCAATTGACTATTAAAATTGTTCTGTAGGATTTATACTTGACTAAATCCAATGGTTACTATGTCTTCTGTATTTACACTGATCATGCTTATCATGAACTGAATTATGTTACACCTCCCCTCTATACACACACACACACACACTCCAAAAACATGCAATAATCTCTTGTGTGGAAACCTTGTCATCAACTTTTACTAAAAATTTCCCTCATGTCTATAATACTTTTTTTATATGTATATACTCTTAACTTTGGTCACAAAATATTTTTGAATTCTGTAGTATTGTATGCAAATTAGATAGACAAGTATAAATAGTGAACATAAGGGCTATGACTAGCAAACCTGTTTGTTATTCAGGACACAGAGAACTGTACTACAACAGCTACTGCACAGAGAGATATGCAAAACATAACAATGGCATTGCCAGTAGAATCATTAAATTCACTGGACGACCCAGAACACTTAGAAACATGGATAAGAACTTTTGCTGCATTTGCAAGAATGAAAAAATTAAGAGACACAAAAACCAATGGAGGAGAGATCAAGATAACAGATTTATTTTTTGCTACCACTGGGTATGAAGCTGTGAAGAAATCTATAATAATGTGTTACCAAAGTGAGTTAGAAAAAAGGACATAAGACCAAACAAAAGATTGGTCATTGCTGAAAGGACCAAGTTTTTAGAGACAAGACAAGCACCCAATGTGTCCATTATACAATACTCATAGATTGAAAGAACGAGCTAAGTATCGTAAATTTGAGAAATTGGGAGCTCAGGAAAGATATATAGAAGATGAATTAATCCTTCCCAGAATAATTGAAAGCTTGCAAGACCAAAACCACTAACAAAAAATATTAGAATGTCTTCAGAGTAGTAGCATGAGTTTGGAAACTAGTGATTAGAGAATTTAATCAACCAAAAGAAGAATTCGAGAAGTACAGGATGAGCACAACCAAATCCATAATTAAATGTAGATATTGTGGAAAAAATCATGAGAGAGAGACGAGTACAAATGTTCAGCTCTAGAAAAAATATGCTCAAATTGTAAAGAGATCATTTTTAGAATGTATGCAAATATGAAAAGAAAATAGAATGAGTACAAATGGTACAAACCCTCTATGAAGAAGCTGAAATATTTACAATGAATACACAAAAAAGAAGGATAAATGGCCAATTATTTAACAGGCACTGAAGTCATGTTGATATCAAAAAATTTCTGGATAAAATTAGGATGACCCAAATTAAAAAAAAAAAAAAAAGCAGCATTCAATTAAAGCAATTTGATGGAACAACTAAAAATTATGGGTACATTTCAAGGCAATTTTGAAACTGATGTGTTTTGAAATAATTTTCATTACAGTTGTAGAATGCAAAAAAGATCACAGATTACTAGGAATTGATGTATTAACAGTAGATACAGCGAGAATAATCAATTCCATGGAAGCAGAAGAAATTGAAATAGGATTATAGAAAGACTATAAAGCAAGCTTTTGTCTAAGAGAAAATTATTACCCAAAATATATCAAATCAAGAAGAGTTCCAATTCATATCCTACCTTTGATAGTAGCCAAATTAAACAAAATTATACACCAAGGCATACTAGAAAGAGTAACTCAAGGTGGTAGCAATTGAGCATCACCGATAGTAGTGATAAAGAAATCTGACAGAGATTTAAGGATTTGTGGTGATTACAAGATAGGGGTAAATCACCAGATATGTTCAGACTATTTTCATTTGCCAAATATCAAAACTGTGAGCCATGAGTTAGCAAAAATGGAACACTTTACAAAAATTGATCTCAAGGCAGCAAATAGAAATTGATGAGAAGTGCAAGGAAGTCATCATGATAACCACCCCTATAGGCTTACTAAGATGGACTCGTCTACCGTTTGGGGTAAAGACTTTGAGTCATATTTTTCAAAAAGCAATTGAAGGAGTCTTATTAGGAAAAATAAAAAAAATATAATATTATACCAGGACGATATATGTGTAGGGGCAAGAACTAAAGAAGAATTGAAATATAAAACTGAGGAAATTTTAGTAAGATTAAAAAAGGCAGGCATGACTATAAACAAAGACAAGTGTAAACTTGACTGTAAAAAGATATGCCTTCTTTTGATATCCTAAATATGATATCACCAAATGATAGACTAACAAAGAAAATAACAAATCACTGCCCCAACAAATAAAAAAGAAATGGAATCCTTTTTTGGGCTAATAAATTTTTATAGTAAATACATACCAAGATACTGTAATACACATAACAGAGCCATGTGCAAAATTATGCAAAAAACAATGAATTTAACTGGACAAAAAAGCAAACTATCACTTTTGAAACACTAAAGAAAATACTGAAGAATAAACCAATAGTAAGTTTTTTATCCACAAAATATAGTAACATTAACCACAGATGCAAGTGAAAAGGTGATTACTGCTATTCTACCACAAGAACAACACCCAATCATGTACACATCGAGAAGGTTAACGTTAGCAGAAATGAACTGGATGACGTAGAAATGAAAGATCAAGAACAAGAAGAGACAGAATGTTACAAAAGTGGAACAGAGCAGGAAATGGAAGAAAGTGAGAATGAAAAGATGGACAAGTATGAAGATGAAAATGAAGAGACAGAGATCACAATTAAAGAGAAAACAAGAAGGACAAGAGGAAGGACAATACAGTACGAAAATAATCTGGAATAGTAAAAGAAAAAACAAGGATATACAACCTCTCTGATTCAGGGAGGTGTAGTATCATATGCAAATTAGATAGACAAGTATAAATAGAAAACTGTACTGACTGCTACTACACAGATAGGCAAAACATAACAAATTCTTTAATCCTAAAGCTTACTAATCATTCTGCATTAAAGATAGAAACCTTTCTTTTGTTGATAAAGCCATACAAAATTACATTCTAAATAGATTAACCTTTCATTTTATTAACATTAAAATGGCAAAACAATGAACTTAATTTTCCTTAAATATTTAATATAAAAAATAGAAAATCCCAATTTTTTTATTCAGTTATTGTGATAACTAAAATTTAACTTCATTTGTCCTTTAGATAACTTAAATATTTTTGTATATCCTCGAACTTTTTAATTTTAAAATTCTAGTGTAAATATGTAGATGGATACTTTCATTTTTATATTTTTGCCTGGGCAATCTTTAACCTTTGTGCTCACAATAAAAGTGTCAAAAGGACAGCTTTTCCAACAGGGTTCCCACAGATCTATGTAAAAAAAAAAAAATTCCAGGACTTTTCCAGGATTGGCACTTGCACACACATGAAGTGAATGGTCATCACTTTCAAAAACACAAACTTTAAGATTTATCTTATAACAAATGTTCAAAGAAAAGCTACAGCTGGTTTCCAATAATTCATATCACATGGATCAGTTGAAAGCAGTGAAGAAATCAAAGTGTTGAAGGCTAAAACACAACTGAATGCAGACCTGATTATGTTACACAATTTGTGTAGCACTCTACACAATTTGGAGTTCTACTACACTTGAAAATTTCGAATTGCACATTTTAATTTTTACTGTTACACATTTCAGCTATCTAAACTACTCATGGTTTGTGAATGTCATAAAAATTCTTGACTGTTGTACATTTCCTGTAATAGTTTTAATGAACAGAACTGCAAATAGAAATGTTCACAAAAAGACTACACATTTTAGCTACCCCCTATAGTTTTTGATATTCTTTGTTGCTAGACAAAAAGAGTAGAACAAAGTGTCCAGATGGTCTTCATGCTTGCTGAAATTCTTGAAAGCAATATTTCCAGCAGCTTCCTCAAACTCTTTGTACTGACTGATGATGTCATCCCATTCAAACTTGCTGACTTGTTTTCTGTCTATCATGTAGGAAAAACATCTATTTAGACTGTCTTCTGTGGCAGATTTTTTTTCACAAATGGATCCAGGGTTCAGCCATGCAAGTGACCTTACAAGAGGGTATCTAAGGGGAGACTTAAACCAGAAGTTTCTCAGTGATAGTGATGAACATCGTCTTTGTTGCAATTCTGCATGCAAACAGATCTTTTGTTGACACATTTTCTTTTTTGGATAAATTTTGCATAGCCCTATCTGCCAGAAATCCACACTCACTCTTTGCAGCATCTTTATACATGTTTGGGTTTGACAAATTTCTTACAAATTCATTCAGTGTGGAATATGTAATTATCTTTTCAGTATGCTCTTTCTTTAAATGATCATGCTAAAAAGATCATCTGTAACGAAAGAAAGCAACAGCTTCTTGCTCTGATATTTTATCAGAAATGGTTTAATAGCTTTTGAAACAAACACAAAAATCTGCAGTTTCACTGGAAATAAAATGTCATTCACATTTGACAGCACTGCAGAGAAGGATGGGGTCTGGGGACATTTTTTGTTTTTTTAATTAAGTTCACAAATTTAACATCTGGCCAAATGTACATTGTACATTTGAACATTTTCTAGCAATCTATAGCTCGAAAAGTAAAGGGGTCACGGTTACCAGATTTAACTTTTAATATAAAGCCAAACAATAAAAGCCAAATAAGTTTTATAATATTTCCTATTTTTTTTATCCACACTTATAACAAAAGCTAGCAATACAGGCCTGCAAACTTTAAAAATAACATTGTTCCTATTTTTTCAAAGATGCATTTTCAGTTCTATCCTAAAACATCAAAGGCACATTTTCTATTCTATCATCCATCCCGTCTACATTGAGTTAAATTTGATTCTCAAACTTGTTACTTTTGGCAACAATTTAGACAAACATAGCTTACACATAGATACATATTGACACAGGACTTGTAAAGTATCTACTTTTCAGCATGAAATCACCCACTGCTGATGAGAGATCAAAAGCACTTTTTACTTTTGAAATTAACATGTGAATAAAATTTCTTCAGTTGTTCAAATTTAAAAAAAAAACACTGATAAATTTTTCAAAGATTCTACTAAAATGTATGTTATTACTGTAAAATAATTAATTATTTTCCTTTCAACTACAAATTCAATGAGTGTGAATTAATTTATCTTTGACACAGATGCTTACTTGTCTCTGACACCTTTTATCTTTGCTTTTTCTTTTTTCTTGTTGAGTGAGAGAAGACATGCCTTCATATTCTTTCTCCCTTGTCACCTAGACAAGAAAATAAAAAAGTAACTACAAGGTCATGAATACATTCAAATCAAGAAAACAAAACACCATTTGTAATAATTGCTAAAAAGTGATGATTAGAATTTTAATAAAACTCAAACATGAAAGTGAATTTATACATTTTCTTTGTTCTTTGAGAATTTACAACAAAAATATTAAATACTATTTATTAGAATGTGCATTTACAAGAATAATTTTATATTTAAAAAATTCTAAAAATGCAAACCAACTAATTAGGTATCTCTATGAGATTGCTATAAAAAAAAAAAAAAGAGCATAGCATGAATGAAAAGGACCTTAAACTTGATGAAAATAATTTTTTATTGTCTAAATGTTTGCTATTATTAAGAGGAAAGATCAATGTATTTTGGGGGTATTTTTTTTACATTTTTTAATCGTTCCTAGCATGTCCAAAATTTTCATTAAAAATCCTTTCCTTTTTCTTTTTTTACTTTTTTTTTTTTTTTTTTTTTTTTTTTGAGTTGGCAAAATTGACTGAAAATTGATCATGTCAACCATATTTTCCATTTTGTAAACAAAAATGAAATTCTCCGATTAAAATTCTTTTCAAAATCAATTTTTTCATAATTTATTTTAAGAAAATTAGAAATTATAAAGTTTATTTAAAATTATTTGAAACAAAGATTACTTACTTTCTGCGCTGAAAAAAATGTACTTTAAAATAAGAGAAAACCAGTCTTAGCAATAGCGGCAGTTGACAAGAGAAAAGTGATGATTTCTTCATGTACTGACATCTTATGTGAGGAAAAGTTATTGTATGGAAGGTCAGTGGCATAATTTAGCTTTAAGTAAACCAACTTATTTACCTCATTATTTTTATGAAAAACTATCAGTGCTCTATTTTTTTTTTTTCTTTTTTTTTTTTTTTGTACTCAGCTTTCACCTTTATGTTTGCGATGATTTATGGAAAAATATAATACTATAAAAAAAAAATTTAAATAAAGGGGAGATAAAAAATTTCCTAATTAATTAGGTACCTTTCTTACATAAAATACTATAATTATAGCTCCTTTTTTTTTTTTTTTTTTTTTTTAAGTAAAACAAAAAAAATCAAACTTCTCCACATGTATTTTGCACAATGTATTTTGCAAAGGCTGTTAACAGCGCCGAACAACACTTATACACAAAATCAAATCCTGTGACATTTTATTGTAGCATGCTTCTTCAGGTCTTCCGTACATTTGAATTACACCTGTTTTATGGACACAAAAGCCAAGGAAAAGTAGATTTTTCGACTATACTGGTGGTTTGTTGGTTGTAAAAAGCTTTTACAATTTATAATCTGTAAAGATAGATCTACTTAATAACGCCATTAAGTAAAGAGTTCACCATTTCCACTAATTTTACAATATTTAACAACTTTAATGTAAAAATAATAAAATAATTTTTAAGAAATAACAATTAATGTAAAAATTCATTTTTCATCAAAATACTTTTTTGCCTTCAGACAATATTGTGCATAGTCATAAAAACAACTAAAAGCAGCTAAAAGCATTTGAAATTAAATAATATCTTTGTTTTATTGAGTTTTGTATGTTATAATTCAGAGCTGATTTTTAGGTAGATGAAGTCCAATTTAAAAAAAAAAAAAAAAAAAAAATTTATTTTCCTCAAAGCCTTGAGTTTTTTTTTTTTTTTTTTTTTTTTAACTAATATAATCATTTAAATGCTTCAACAATGAATTTCTAGAGTTTTCATAAAATTAGTTATGGGGTGGTGGTAATATATATCAAAAAATATTTTTACCATGACTTTAAAAAAAAATAACAATAATTTCCATCATTTGTGAATAGTTTCTGAAAGTTTCATTAAATCTGACAATTATTTCTATTTTTGCAAGATTATCAAAATTAATGACTGTCATTAAAAAAAAATGCACTAAAATTTGTTATGTTAAATAACATAGCAGATTTTCTTCTGCTGACGTAGAAAAACAAAGGTTTTTTTTAATCAAAAGTTAGAATGTTCTAAAAAGACAGAAAATTTTTTTTAAAATAATCAATATTTTGTTTTCTCTTAATAGTAACAAACATTTTGATGATAAAATTTTGTTTTTAAGTTTAAGGCCGTTTTTATCATGCTGTGCTCATTTTCCAGCGATCTCATGGACATACCTAAACTAATACAATGCAATGTTGATCATTTATCAATTTATAAAGAAATAAACATTTCTTTTATAATTCATTAATATTTTTATAAAATTATGAATAAAAAACTTGTTTTCATAGTTATTTATAAAATAGTAAATAATAAATATTGCATTGTAGATGGCTTATATATTTTGATAATTTTGTAAATTGTTTTTAATTTCTGAATAAAAATATTTTGTTTCACATTTCTTTATAAAATTTTTATAATCTTGTAAATAAACATTGCTGAGAGAGTGAAGATAGTACACAATAATACTGTTAAGGGAAAAAAACTCATTTTGGCACTCCAAATTTTTGTGGCTACAAAGGTTAAAGTTTACCTTTGTCTGTTTTGTGAAGTCATTAATTTCCATCATTATTAGTAAAAAAAAAAAAAAAAAAATTATTCCTTATTGATGCTCTAATTTTTAAAAAATAGTATGGTTTAGGTTGAAGTGATTACAGATCTATTTTTTGGATATAGTAATAAAATTAGTTATAAAATTTAATAAACAAGTTTGAAATAAATGGCTGAAATGTTTCATTTATTTTTGCAGGCATTTGAAAAGGAAATGCAGCGCCTAGAGAACTTAGCTCAACTTATCCCTAAAGTTCTTCCTCGTGAGGATCCTCGATTAGACCACATTTTGGTGTATCTTTCTGCTAATAAAGCTCCAACTTCTGTGATACATCGTGTGCTGCTGGAACAGTTTTCTAACCTGTCAATACTTGATAGAGATGTTAGGTATGTAATTCTTCTATATCTGTATAATGTGCATGTGTGAATAAAACAATAAATATTGTTAGATTTCAGAATCTGGTGCAAAATTTGTTTTAAATGTTATTGCTGGCTTATTTATCTGAATACATTTATAAAGCTTATTTTAGAATGGTAATTATTTTCTTTTAATAGTTATTTATAATTGTTCTAAATGATTATGGTATTATTTTAATACTTTGAGAGGAATGATCAATTTACCATAAGAATATTTTGTGTTATTGTAGTATTTTAGTTTTTCATTTATTTAGATAATTTTCAATACTTGGAATGTATTTTTTGATACTATGAAGCTTGCATTAGTATGAAAAAAGGACCTACTTTTAGATCAGTGTTTTAATTTTTATTTCTTTAGGTCAATTCCTTCAATAATGTGAGAAAACATTTCTTTAAATTTGCTTGCAGCTTTTTTTAATTCTTTTAACAGTTTTTTTTATACAAAATCATTTTTCTTCAAATATTTCTAATAAATAATGCTTTGAGCTTCAATCTTTTTCTTTTTAGTTTTAATTTGATTCTAATTGATTTGTTTCTGTTTTACTTGAAAAAAAATATCCCTTTTGTTGATTTAAAGTAAAATTCATCTGAATCATCTTTGATTACACTGTCATCAAATCTGTGTATTGTATGTAGAGGGTGTGAAAAGTTTTTGGCCTGACCAAGAAGGAGACACCTCCCCCACCCAAAAAAAATTGTGGATTAGGCTGAGAATTTTTCAACACTTTCTCTTATGCAGTTTTAATTCTCAACATGGCAATATGATATTTTGTGATTGTACAGGATGGGAAAACATTTAAAGAGTGAAAACTTGGATAAACCATATTACCCTGCCTGCATAAGCAATAACTGTAAAAATTCAATTATTCTCTACCCTGTAAGGATTCAGTGAAGATGGCCTTTTGTGTTGTATTAATTTTTATACATTCAGTTGTATTGGAATTTTATCTTATATTTCATAAAATATGTTGCAGTCAAAATTTAGTTCTTGATTTTATGTGACTGGTTTTATTTTTTTTTATTTTTTTTACTTCTTGTAATCAGTTTTGAATGATATTTTTATGATCATAATCTTAAGTTTGTAAGAAAATTCTTTTATAATATATTAGTTGCATTATTTTCTCTGCTTGAGCTGCAGATCATTAGTTAATGAGTATAGTTAGAATATCTAAACTCAAGGCATTAGTTTACTGCTACTTTGATTAATGAGGAAATATTTTTTTCCTTCAAAAGATGTACTGTTTTTATATTTACTGAAGCAGGTGCAGATTGCTGACCATTCTTTTATGAAACTATAGCCAGGAAAATACAAGGGACAGTAAAAAAGTAATGCCTGTTCTTTTTTTTAATTATAACAGATTTAATAATAGCACACAGCATACCAAAATGAACACAAGTCTCAGGATTCTAAATCTGGTCCTCAATGTCATATCTTTCTTTCTCAATCATAATATTAAACCTTTAAATGAGGGCATGCTTTATTAGCCTCATCATCATTAGAGAATTGCTGTCCTCTGAGTGCTTCTTTCATACATGTCTATGCACTGCTCCTTCAGGGAGTCTGTCATTCTAGGAAATCACTTTATGCAGACCATTGTGTAGTAGCAGGTACTACCATGGCTCATCAGAAAGCTTTCAGAGTTTGTATCAACTATGAGAGCATCGGCCTTATACTCATGCACAGCAGTAGCTGGCCTACCAATATGGAGTCTAAGATGAGTTTCTCCTGAGAATCTTGCAATTAACTTAACTAACCCATCTTTTAAGTGTATTTACATCAAGTGCAGCCTTTCCCTAATCATTCACTAACCTCCTGTGAATGTTTGCAGCACTTTCTTTCCAAAAACAAATTCTATGATAGCTCTGTGTTATACATGTGTTCAGAGGGAACAGTCATTAAAGAAGATTATGGGTAGGAAAAGAAAAGTTAACTTTACAAAATTTTCTTTTGAACTTCGAGTTTAAAAAGAATCTAATACTTGTAACTTAAAAAGTAATGCCTGCTCCAATTTAAGTAGCTCACATATGTATATAGTGTGTGTGTTAATTAAAAAATTTTCTCAGTAATATTCAAAAAATTGAATTCCAATTATCTGATTTAACTTTCTGTTGTTTTCAGTAATATCAGTAATAAGAATTATGCTTATGGCAATCATAGTAATTATAATAATATAATTTTTGTTTACTACAGAGCCAAGAAAATCAGGCAAGAAGCTATTAAACATGAAGAAGATATACAAAAAAAATTAGGGGAAAGTGGGAACAAAGAATATGTGGTATGTATGTTATTTTAATCTTTCAACATTTTAAGTTTTGTTTTACTTTTTTTAATGAATAATATTCTTCGATATTTTGGTATTTAACTTCTGTTGAGTAGTTACGATGATTACAAGCATAAAACACTTTGAAGTATAAAGAGGTTGCAGAAAATTCAGTGTGTCATAATTGGATGCTGATATGTGTAAGGTGGGGCAGAGTGTAAAAATTCTTGAAATTGCTCAATCTAAGACTACATAATCTAAGTTTCATCACTCATCATAAGTGAACATCAGATAGCTTTGAATATATGTTACTCTTTCAAAGTTTCTTCATTTTATAAGCAGAATAAATTATAGACAAATCATATGTATCATTTCTTAAGCACAGCCAAAAAGAATAAAATCATATAGTTAATATTCTTTGATTTTGAAAATTGATAAAAATCATATCATTTCAGGCTTGGCATGAACGTTATCATAGATTCCGGTGTGCTGTCCACCATTTCAACAAAGGTGTAAAGCTATATCACCAAAATTGGTTAGTATTAAGATAACCTTAGTGTAGAGATATTGGCTAATATATATATATATATATATATATATATATATATATAAGGGTTGTTTGATTTGAATCAGACTGATTTTAAATTAATTTTTTCAAAAATAATGGTTAAAGCAAAATATAACTCCAATCACAACTTTTTTTTTTTGTTTTCATGTAATTTCATGAAGGAAGGAAACATAAGCAGTGTGTTTGTATTCATTGTTTTGCTGCTCTGTCTTTACTAAGATGATTTCTCAGTTTGAAATGCACCAGAAACTTGTTTAACAAATTTGCATGTGAACCCCACCATTCATTAGCAGAGACTGTCTGCAAATTTAAATGTCTAGAAGAGATGAGGCTATGTGCAACTTCCTCCTAATAATGGGAACAATTAGGGGATATTTCTCACTGACATATTCCATCACTATTTATTCCCTCCATGCTTAATGATTTTCTTTGAAAACAAGGATGAACTATATTCTTGTATTATTTGGAACTGTTGTTCTCATCTTGTTTGATATAGATATTATTGACAATATTTTGAACAAGTACCCTTTGATCATCATCAGGTGTCCATTGATTGGCTGATATAGAATATCTGTTGGTTATTGGGATAATTTATTCTTGTGATATCAGTTATTGTTCATTCCTACCTAATTGGTACTTTACTACCTGATCCAAGGATTGAATTCATGATGACTAGATGATAGTAACACATGTATAACCAACTCCTATATCCACTATGCCACTATCCCAAAGGACATTAGTGGTGTGTTGTTGGAGCCTTTTCTATTCAATGTCAGATGATATTTGGTTATGATAGCGGGTTCATACTGTTTTTCATAATTTATTTTTTCATTTTTGAAATAATTGTCAGTATTGTATATTTTGAACTATTGTTTTCCCCTTGGTTTATCCCTGCTAACTTTACAGATTTGGAAGAGAATTGGCCAGTTGTTTATATACCTTTTCACAATCTGACATGGTGTTCCATTGAGTGTCCTGTGTTATGACAAGATACTGACCACCTTGACAGTATCTTGCTGAGGCATAATGATTGTTTCTAGAGCATTTAACCATGTAAAACATGTTCTTATTATCTATTTTTTAAATTAGTCTTCAAAATAAAATATTGAAGACTCAAACTATTGGGATTTATTAAGTCTTTGATATATAAAAAAACAAAAAACAGAATTAAAATATTTTAAAAGATCTTTAGTCTTGTCTTCAACTTCACATTATTTAACATTATTTGTTCTATTTTGTATTGTTTTCAGTTACTTGGATTTTTCTCTTTCTAAATACAAGTTAGAAAAACACAAGAGAATTTTTATCTTTTTAGATTTTAATTCTGTCTTGAATATTAAATTAACATTTAGTGGTATCTGAAAATCTGGCCACCAGGAAAAGTGCCACAAGGAAAACGTGTTGATCACATATCTTTCATGGGCTGAAAATTGTACATTAGAATGATTTTTCCATCATAGAATTCCTGGGGAAATTTTACAAGATTTTATTTTGAACTTCTGGCACAATTTAGACATGGTTGTGCTGATGGAAGTTGTGCCAAAAGTTTTTTTTTTCTTTTCGTCTTAAGAAAAAGAAACTTATAAAATTGTCCTGGAACCTATATGATCAGGAAATTACATTTCCATGGATCTTTTACCATGTGGTTTCCTTCCTGGTGGGCAGATTTCTGGTTTCTGACACTTAGCACCCCATAGATTTAAGTAGTTTTTTTTTTTTTTTTTTTTTTTTTTTTAAAAAAAAAAGAAAAAAAAGACAGAAATTGAAAAATCCCAGATTTGAGTTTAAAAAACAGCACTGGTGTGACAGTGTTGCTAACATAGTACCCATAAAAAAATAACAGGATTTTTTTATGTATATATAGCTGATTTCCTTGACAATTTATTTTAAAATGCTGCAAGTATAAAATAATTGAATGAACTTTACTGAAAAAACAAGCATGACCATAAGTAGGATGTAGATGCACCCAATACCTTAAAAAAAAAAATGATCAAAATTAAATGTAAATTTTTATCGATTAAATTGTGAAAATATCAGCCATATGATGAAACCAAATGTTGCTAATTTGGCAACCCTCAATAATTCTGTTGTTGCTCTTGATAATCTCTCAAGCTATTGATCTCAGCTTTGTTCTTTCTTTTTCTTATGTGCAAAAATGAAAAAAAAAACTGATTTAAATTAAAAAAAAAAATTTTTTTTTTTTTTTTTTTACTTTGCTTTTAATTTAAAAAAAATCAATAACCCTTATGTGTGTGTGTGTGTGTATATATATATATATATATATATATATATATATATATATATGTGTGTGTGTGATTACTTTTTATTATATAAATATACTTTTATTGCTTAATAACTTCAAAACATTACTGGCCTAGAATATTGAAATTCATTTGTCAAGTTGTTAAAAAATATATCAAACAAAAATATCAAGAAATAGTTTTCATAAGAATTAAATCATGCTGGATTTGATTGTTACATCTGTAAAACTTATCTTAAGCACTGTTTTAATGTTTTTATATAATTTCTTATATATTTTCCTTACATTCTGGTGTTAACACTGTTAGCCAGCTTTTGCAATAAAATAATGAAATTTGATTATATGAAAAGTCAACCTGATAATTATAAAATAATTATCAGATCTTTTAATCTTATATTGTTGAAATTGTGAAAGATTTGCCTCTTATTCATTTGATGATATTAAAGATAATTTTTTTCTGTTGTGAGCCAAACTACTTTAAGAATGAATTCTTAATATTTTTCTTCATTTATCTCACTTTACAAAAATATTTGAAAAGTGGGAGGAGGCTAATGTTACTTAGTGTTTCAAGTAAAATAACTATATAAATCATTTAAAACATGATTTAATGTATTTGATTATTTTAATTTAAGATCAACAAATCTTTAGAATCTTTTTTCTTTTGTATATCTTAATTTTTTCTGTTTTCAGCTATAAACCTGCCATGAATTCTCTGCGAAATGCTTACATTCTGAATACAGATCTGATGAAATCTCCATTGTATGAAGCAAGTGGTTTAAATGAAGAATTATTAAGACTTTACCGAAGAAAATGTTTATTGGTTAGTAACTTATATTAAGTGTAAAGAGTGATTACAAAATCTTTAACTTCTTTAAATTGTGTAATACAAAATCCTCTTGGATCCTTCCTTTGGCTATTTAATTTTGGTTGAAGGGTTCTTTAAATACTACTGAAAAGATTAAAACCTAAAATTCAGTTAAAAAAATATCTAATTAGATTTTAGTGAGATTTTATATAAAGATTTGTTGTGATATTATTTTTTTCTGCTTAGTTCTTTCAAGAAAATATTAAGCTAGCCCATCATACTTATAATTGTCTTCAACTGAAATACACATTGAATCATATTTACTAAAGTATGCATTAACATTTCATAGAATTCTGAATAAGGTAATTATTTAAGTTATGCATTAATAATTTATTAAATCTTATGAAATAAAAACTGATGGCTTGAATTTAAATATGGACTTAGAAGTGTTACTTTATCAAAACATTAAATACATCAATCCAGTAAAATGTTATTGAAAAAGATTACATAAAGTTAAAGCATTTATGGTTTAATAATTAAGTAATTGTAATTTTCAGTAAAATCCTCAGTAGCATACATCCACTGATATGATAAAAAATGTATAAAATAATTAGAAAATGTATTTCTAAGGTTTTTTTTTTTTATATATATATATATATATATATATGCATGTAATATATATTCTGACATGCTGTTACTATTCAGCCACAGAGAAGCATCTGGTTAACAAAGTCTGAATTACTGTTTATAAACACACACCTTTGAAAATTTTTCTCAATTGATCATTTCTGCTCATGAATAAATTATCTGTATTTTAATTAAACAAAATTACATTTACCAGCCTGAATGTTCAAGAACATCTGACAGGAATCGAACATGTGACCCTTATGGGAACTGTCATATAGTCTGACTTACTGTTACTATTCAGCCACAGAGAAGTGTCTGGTTATCAAAGTCCGAATTACTGTTTATAAACAGAGCATTTACTTAAATAAATTACATCTATAAAAATAACATAAATAGAAAATATATTAAATAATTGTCGGACTTAATCCATTTCATATGTTGTCATTGTTTACATTAAGATATGTTTTGTAAGCAGAAATGATCAATTGAGAGAAATCGTTGAAAAAATATATATACAGTGTAACCCAGATATAAGAGACCTGGAAAACCCGGATATAAGAGATTTTCTCTGGTCCCAAATTAGAGCCTGTGTTAATGTATATAAATTAGACCCGGATATAAGAGATTTTTCTCTGGTCCTCCTCCCCGATATAAGAGTTTGTTTTGGTGACTGTGTGATGTCCTTTTAATCGGTCAAACAGAGGTCAGTTAGAGAGAGAGTGAAGTTCAATGACTTAATCTTGACTAGTCTAGAGACACGGTGTGTCAATCTGTGTCTGTAGGAGACACCCTCTACCTTATGATTTTGCTTTATGTGTCTAAGGGTAGCGCCCTTTTTTTTTGCCGACTTTACTTGTCATTGCATTTACTGGACAGCACTTTCACTTTACCCACTGTTCTGTTGAGTCAGAAGTTTGTCTGTTTATTAATTTGCCACTGAAAACCGTTTGCTTGCGATCATTGGAGTTAGTGATGTTGGCATCGAATGCTCAACGAAAACTCTGAGAATTTTGGGGATTCCACATTAACGAGCTTACACAATGGTTTATGCAAGCATGTGCTCATGGAGCTACCGTCACCGATCATGTCATCAGGCAGAAAGCATCACAACTGGCCGTAAATCTTGAAGTTGATTTGAACCGAGCAATGGCTGGCTCATGCGCTGGAAAATTTCAAAAAATTTCACGGCAAATCAACGTCAGCAGATCACGGTTCTGCCAACAAATGGGTGACAAACGTTTTGCCGCAACTTTTTCGTGGATATGATCCAAAAGATGTTTGGAACTGTGATGAAACGGCAATTTTCTACAAAGCCATGCCATCTGGATCTTTGCGATTTGCCGACGATGAACAGTCAAATGAGACAAAAGTTCCCAAAGACAGACTCACGATGCTTCAGTTCACAAACATGGACGAAAGTGGAAAGCAAGCTGTAGTTGTTGGTATGTCGGCAAAACCACGCTGCTTTAAAAATGTCAAAACTCTGCCGTTTTCTTACTTCACTAATCGTAAAGCCTGGATGACTAGTCAGCTGTTTACTGACGTTATGAAAATGCTTGATCGAAAAATGATTGCTCAAAATAGAAAGATTATTCTGTTTTTGGACAATGCAACTTGTCATAACTTACTGCTGGGTACAAATCTGTCAAACATCAAATTGTCGTTCATGCCACCAAACACCACCAGTCTCATTCAACCTTTGGATCAAGGCATCATTCGTTCATTCAAAGCGTATTATCGTCAGGAACTTGTTTGAATGCAAATCGCAGCAATCGATGCTACACCATCAGTGCTGCTGTCCGAGGTGGCCAAGCAGATAACTGTTTTGAAGGCCATGCACATGATGAAGCGAGCACTTTTCATGATCAAACCGTCAACAATTCAAAATTGTTTTAAAAAGGCCGGCTTTGTCATTGAATCACAGGCTGAAGTGGAAGAAATACTCGACGAAAATGATTAAGTTTCTCCACCATTGGGCATGGAGCAAACAGATTTTGACGAATTTATCAGCTTTGACGACCATACACAATGTTATGGAGAACTGACTGACACGGACATCACACGTGGTATAAAATCGGGTGATCAAGATTTTGACGAAGATGATGATGCTGAAAGCGTAAGTTCTGAAGTTTCTGAAAGTGACAAACCAGTGCCAAATTCTTTGGCTGCATTGAATGCGCTTGAAACTCTGACAGCCTACTTTGAAGCAAAAAGCAGTAATCCTGATGGCGCATTGAAAATGATTTACGGACTGTATGAAAGTGTTCATGATGTTAATAAAAAATTTCTGTACAATCAAAAAAAACTGACTGACTTTTTAAGAAAAAGTAATTTTTGATTGAATTATTTTGAAAACTGATTGAAAATGTATTTTTGTCTGTGTTTTTTATGTCTATAACTGTTAAATAAACGAGTGTTCTGTACATAAAAAGCGTTATATGAAGTGTTCCCATACTTACCTAAACAAAATAGACCAAACCCTGATATAAGAGAAACCCGGATATAAGAGACTTCTTCTCCGGTCCCGACAACTCTCTTATATCCGGGTTACACTATATATATATATATATATATATATATATCTCAAAACTATAGAACCTATTTATTTTAATAAATTGTGATTTTTGTTATTCTTCAGAATTTAAATATTTTGACTGCCAAAGAATTTGAGAATGAAAATGATGTCACTGAAACCCTAAAGTTAATGCATAATGATATCCTTTCAAGTATTGCTGATTTGTCTCAAAGCAAGAATCCTGCTGACACAAAGGCTGTAGAATCCATGCGAAACCAGTGGTGTACAGTGTTGGGACAAGATTTTGATAGTAAGTTTTCTTTTTTTCTGTATTTGTTTGTAAAATTATTTCCACCTTTTATATGAATGACCAAAAAGATAATAATTTAAAAGAATTACTTTTTAAATTACTAAAATGTATTGCATGCTTGTCACTAAATTTTTCTGAGTTATATGAAAAATAAAAGTTCAGAATTTTAATCAATTTAAAATCAAACATAATATTGAATGAAAGTTTATTTATTTTAGGTATTTATTTTAGTATTGTTAACCCTAGTACTGAAGATGATCAGTTTTTACAATATTCTATTTAACCTCTGATTTGTACCCTTTAATGTAGTTTCAGTGATGAGATATGACATTCTCTGCCCCTATGCATTAGCACATACACAATTTCTTTTCTTCTTACTTAAACTACATTGCAAAGGCTGGTTTATATTTAATTAGCAGGGATACCCAGCGTTGCTTGGGAGATCTCTGAATAATAGTTTATTATTGACAATTTATTGATATTTTTCAGCCATCTTATGGAAAATAATTTTTTATTCAATCTTTAAAAATATGAACTTCAGTTTTTTTTTTGTGATTTTTTTTTTTTTTTTCTTTTTGATTTGTTACAAAATAACTAAATTTATGAAAATACCACACTACCAATACCAAACTGGGGTGGGCACTGAGCATCCCCATATTTTTATTCAAAAAGACATTTTATTTTTCAATTTAAATACTAACATAAATACTCTGTTAATGTTGTTTTCAAACAAATCAAACTTAGATAAAAATTCATTAACCTTTTTTCAAATTATTATTAATAAAAAGTTAATTAACTTAAATTGATATATTTAAACAGATTTTAATTTAATAATTTTTTTCAAACAAAAATTACAGCGAGAAATATAAAGGTGAGACAGGCCGCTCCCTTAAGGTAAGACTTCAAGAACACCAGAAAGCTGTAATACAAGGGAAGTGGAAAAATCAAGCGTGGCTGACCACATATGGAGAGAAAAGGGAGTTCACCGCCCTCTGTAGGATCAGCTTGAAATCCTAGACAAAGAACATCATGGGAAAATTTGTAAACTTAAGGAATCAGCACATATGCTAGGCCACAAAAATCTCCTGAGCTGACCAAGCATAGAAATGAATACAATATGGAGTGCCAGAGAAAAGCAATAATAACAACGAAAATTGCAATATGAGCTCTGGTGAAAAACATGAATGATAACAGCAAAAAATTGCAATATGAGCACTGGTAAAAAACGATGCTGAAGACATTAGGTTTATAATACCCAGAAATTCATACACAGATGCCTTTATCTACTGTGCTATGTGTCCTTGAGGACACATGGCACAGTGGATAAAGGTGTTAGATCCAGTGACAGGACCTAAAGAGTGTGAGTTCAATACCTGATTAAGACAGTGGAGAACTTAGAGAAGGGAATTAACAGGAGATAACTGGTAACTGACATCCATTAGACATGGCACGTGGAACTAGAATAGTCTACCCCAGCGAGTGAAATAAAGGGTTCAGTTTGACATTCCAACCACCTGAAGAAGGCCGGAGCATACAACAGCCGAAATGTTGTAATAAATATGGCGACAAAGATGAGGACAATAGTCCAAATAATGTAAATAGTGAGCTTTACTTTTTCGTAAAATAATTATTTACTATATATTTTGGAGGGTAATTTAGATTTTTTAGGTAAATAAAGTTTTATTTTTAAACATTAATTACTATTTTGAAAGAGAGTAGAAGCAAGGTACATTGAAAATTTAATTTTGAAAAGCAATTATGTTTAAATTTCAAGTTATATTTGTATTTGAAAAAAAAACACTCCAGTTAAATAAAAATTAGCAGGGACACATTATTTACAATCAACATTAGTCATATTGAATATTTTACAAATTTAACTATATTTAAATTAATTTTTGAAAAAATAAGGCTCACTATAGTTTTTTGCTTTAATAAAACTTAATTGATAATTATTTACATTTTTATATTAGTACAAACCAAAAGGTAATGATGTTTATTTTTTTAAAGATTGAATAAAAA